CTGGCAGCCCGAGCCCGCCTGGCCGCGCTGCGGCTCCGAAACAGTTACCGGCTCGTAAACAACAGCTGCGCGCGCACCCGCATCAGCTGGCCCGGGATCCCACACCTGCGACCTCCGCGCGTCATCGCCGCCCCCTCCTGCACTGCCAGCCAGGACCAGCCTGCGAGGCTGTCTCCTCTTTTGCTAGGACTCGACCTGCGCCAGGGACCTGGTAGGGGCGAAAGCGTCTCCTGGCGAAGGGTTGGCCTGTCCTGTCACACGCAGCAGAAACCTAGCGAGCGGACCTTGGGCTCGATGGACTAGCAGCGACTGGCCACGACCCTGAGCTGCAGTCCGAGGTGTCCGCTAGCTTCTCTTCCCACATCCCAGGGACCTTTCTGCCAGCAGAGCGGGTGGGCCGCCCCCGCAGACCTCTGAGAGGCAGGAATCCGCTCTGCCCCAGCATCCTCCTCTGCTCACCCTTCTCTCCGCATTCTCCTCCGTCCTCGTGTGGGATATCTTTCCCGTTATGCATGCGCACCTCTCCCACCAGACCCAACTGGATTATCGGCCTCAAAAACCTCGGGTGGCTCTACTGCACACACCTCCTCCCAGCCAGACCTGTGGGGTATTCACCTGATAGACAACAGGTGGCCCGTACCGTTTTTTTCAATCTCTCTTCTGTATCTGCATCATCAGGGTGGACCTGTGTGCACTTGGCTCAACTAAATCCGTGAGACATTTACCAGATAAAGGACTAACAACCTTGGCCGACACCCGGGGGTCGGAGGAAGCAAGGCTTCGCCTGCTTCTCTCAGATCATGGCACTGAGCCCGCAGCCCTGGATCAGGAGACATAGCTAGCTATCTCTTCATTCTGAAGGAACGAAGTTACACGAGATTGGCATCGTTTTGTCTTTTTTTTTTTTTCTCAAATATTTTTCAGCTACTGGTAGTGCACTTTCTAGGACAGTCTGCTTGAATTCTGAGTATAAAGATTCTCATTTGGGGCTCTGTGTGATGTAAATCAAGGTAATTGGTGTGGTGTGTGTTTTTTTAAAGTTATCCTATTTTTGCGATCAAAAGCAGCTAGTGTTGGAGGAAGGATTTTGCGG